TCCCCACCTCCCCACCCACCCCCCCCCCCCCCTCCAAAAAAAAAAAACAAAGCAATTAAAACCTTCTTTAAAATAGATGATTAGATGAAAAGAGTTTAATTTATAAAGAAATCAATTTTAAAAATAGTTCCAGTTTGCAATCAACCACTTGACTTATTTTCCGTCCGAAATTTTAACTATAATTTTCAAAGTTACCCTTAAAAAACACATGTGATATATATTCTTAATCAAACATGTGTGTTTTTTAAATATATTTTCAAAATTATAGTTCATAGTTCATCAGAAAATATGTCAAGATGCTTATTGCATGGGGAACCTCCTTTGAAGGTGTTTTACCCTATAATGTTGAATTTTAAAGGTGATTTTTACACTATCACCCTATATGAAAGGTGATTCTTTTGTTTTATTTTTCTTTATTTTCGGGGGGTGGGGGGGGGTTGGAATGCGCGCTTGGGGCACTGAGAGCATCTCCAACACCTTCCTATCTCATGTCCTAGGCTAAATATAGGGAGTAGCATGAGGAAAAGTTGCTCCAACAAGCTACTTATGTTGGAGACTAAATATAGGAAATATGATTTGGAGAGCATTATTAGAGCACTTACTCATTATTTGGCTCCCTATTTTCTAGAATGAGAGATTTACTCCTCAAATATAGGGAAAACCTAAAACCACTCTTGCAGATGCTCTAAAGTAGGAAAAATTAGAGAAACTTTAGCTTACCCACCCTCACGTTACACGTATACCAACCAATCTCCACCTACATCGCCGTTGCCTTCACCGTTCATTATCCCAAGGGGCGACCGCCGTGGTTTCCTCCAACAGATGGACGGCTGATTTTTCACGTCCTCCACAATCAAGTTTCCATATATAGGCGTTCACACCACAAACGCATCAATAATTTGCGGCTGCTGACAGATAAGGTAAATTGCATAAAAGCCCTTAATTTTGGGGTGATTTGCAAGGAGAGGTTATGAACTTCAAAATTAGAGAAAATCTCCTAAACCTTTGTAGTGTTTCATCTTTTGGACTTTCTAAGAGCTCAACCTACTGAAATATCATCTGTTATCTCTTAATAAAAATGTTTAAAAAGTTGCCCTCCTAATTTTATAGGGTCTTTTTTTTCTTCCAAAAATCACTTTCAAAATAGCATACCATTATATAGAAACCACATTAATACATAAACCACAGTTTAAAAAGTTTGTGTTGAAATCAACCACCTAAACCTACTGTCGAGTTAAGTTTTCTCAGTGATTGACCCCATCTAACTTTCATTAATGATTATCTTTGTTATAATACACTTAATACTTGTTAACTACTCATGACATTATAACAGTACAATGGATCCACGTGGTTGACTGTAAAAACTTCTTTTAAAAATGGATTATATATTAATTGACAATTTAAAGATGATTTCCGTTTTATAAAACTAAAAACAGATTTCTGTATAATAAAACTATGTTACAGATTTTTTTAAATGAAAAGTCATAAAATTCAGGTGTAACTTTTGGAAAGGAGTTTTCGCTAAATTTTAAAACTTTTTTAGTCAGTTTTGTAAATCACTTAAAGGTCAGGGGGTTTTCTGAAATTTAAGATGTGCACTTTTCCTTTGGAACTTTACCAAAACGCGCATTGATTGAAAATATTTTCTCTTTTATTTGACAGTTCTACCTGCTGCTGTTTCTCTTTTTTGATATCGAGAGTTGGAGGCTGAGAAAAGTGGAAAAAAGCTGTAAAATTGGGAGAATTTTAAGTGTAAAATTATGGGGTCAGGATCTTTCTTCAAGGTTTTGCTGAAGAATTTTGATGTTCTTGCAGCGTATGGATTTCTTACCTTTCCCCATTTGATGTTTGTATTGTAATGCAAAACCCTAATTTTATTTTATTTTTACAACTGGGTTTTTTTATATAGAACACTTTAATGCCCTCATTGATGGTTTGTCTGTAGAAACTGCTGGATCCTTCTTGTGGGTTGTAGTGATCTGATTGAAAGTTTTGAGAAATTAACTCAAATTTTGAGTTTTTATGTGCTTCTTGCACTTCAATCACTTTAATGGTGAACTTTGTACTGTCTAAAAAGATACATTGTGGTGCTTATAATTTTTCCAAGCAAGTGAAAAGATTATCAAAATTATTTATTTTTTCTATCATGATCATAGAGATATAGACAGTTTGGTGATTATTTAGGATTCATAGTAGCTTCTGTTATGAGTTCTGTAAGTGAGTAGGTTATAAATTGTAGCGAATAATTTTTCAAAACAGGCCGATTAGCTTTTTATTTTTTAAAATCGACCGATTTTTTATTTATTTATCAAAATCGACCCGGTTTTGTGATTAGCAGGTTAATCACTATCCTAAATAGTCGGGGTTGCCAACCCCGACTATTTAGGAGGGTGTTAAACCCTAATTAAAGGCTTTAAACCCTAAAAATTAATGTCCTAATTAGTCGGGGTTGGCAACCCCGACTATTTAGGATAGTAATTAGCCTGCTAATCACAAAACCAGGTCGATTTTGATAAAAAAAAAAACGGTCGATTTTGAAAAATAAAAAACTAAATCGGCCTATTTTGAAAAATTGTTCAAATTGTAGCATTCCAAATTTTAAGTGGGTTACAGTCCATTAAAGGGATTGAGGTTGCAACTTGCAAGGAGATCACTGTGCAAAGTATAATGCTTATTTGATCTCACTTAACTCCAGATGGTGGGAACCGAGCGAGATAATTTGGGTTGCGGAGAAATAATTGCAATCATTTGAATTTAGATGGATGTGATTGCCCCAATTTTAGTCTCTCCTAGGAGGCTCAATCATATTCTTGTAATCTTATGTAGTTCAAATGAATATCTTCGTTTTCTCTATCTAATGCGGACCCAATATGATGACTATTCTGTCCTAAATTGTTAGAGAGCAACAACTAGGTCTCTTACCTTCACCTTAACATTAACTTGTCCTAGAAGGGTCAAGTAAATGACTTGGAATTTAAATTGACGAATGCACTTTGTCTGCTCACAATGGAGATGATGTGAAGAGTAAGAGATCAGTATCAACGAATGTCATTTTAATAGAGGCAAAGAAGGGGCCCTGGTTTGTATACTTCCACTGCTGTGCAGAATTAGAAATTTTAAAGCTTTTAATATGTAACTACTCAAAGAATTTGATTGTCAGTGAAGTCACCTGGAATGGATTTAATCCTGCAATTAACATTTCTAACTTAAAAGGTTCTCTCTTTGTTGTACAATGTTTTTTAGTCTAGTGCAATGCAAAATCAATTATAATGGAAATGGATGGGGGGAATTTTCGGAAGCTTAAGCGCTTAGCTTTAGGTTAACTTCCTTTTGTCACAAGGTTGAGGACTTGCTATGCTTTTGCATTTTAAATCATTGCTAATTGTTACTTGTGTCGACATCTTCACATTGTTTTTACTTTACACAGATGTGCATAAGTTCTGATTTACTTGTAATCTTAATATGTTTTTATCTTTCTGTATCATGCAGGCCTGTGGTTACACTTGTCTATCCTTTGTAAGTTGTGATTTTCTCTTTATTCTTCTATCTATATACCACTCGTTCATTCTTTTGTTTCGTGTATCTAAAGCAAGTACAATTGAACAGGTATGCTTCAGTTAGAGCAATAGAAACTAAATCCCCTGTTGATGATCAGCAATGGCTCACTTACTGGGTGCTCTATTCCTTAATAACGTTGTTTGAGCTTACTTTTGCCAAAGTCATCGAATGGTGATTACATATCTAGAATTGCCTCTTCTATTTGTCTTCTGTCAATCTATCAGAATATGTAACTTATCATTTCTCGCTTGCTACTTTCGTTTCAGGTATTAGCTTTTATTTTCCTTAAATCCATTATGGACATCTATCCACCCAATTCATTCTTATATGAAAATCATGAGGTGATATTTGTGATTCAATAGATTTATATTCTATCACGAGTAGATATCTGGAATATACTCATACAAGATGCAAGCATAGTAGTGCAAGCTTTTCTTTTCTTTTGTCCATAGGGCATAGATGGCTTTATGGGCGTTCTACTCCTGCACCATTTTTCATTCAGAAAAAAAATTGTCACTTTTAGATTTAGAGAATCCCCCCCCCCCTCCCGGGGTGGTGCTGCTATTGCATTTTGTAAATAGTTGCATGCTTCTTGTTTGTCTTTGGCAACCAAAGACTTGGAAGTCTGAAAAGGTAGCTTTAAAGTTTCTGAAGTGGATCAACATAGAGTGTAGTTAACAAAGACAAATTCTTGGTGTTGTACAGGTAGGAGCTGATTTTAGATGTAAACTTCATAAGACTATTTTTGTTGTTTGTTCGTTTGCCTCCTAAAGTAGTACTTCTGAAGTGACTAGAACATTTACTTCTTAGTAGAGTCATGGGAAAAAAATGATTTTTTTTGAGTTTTTCGTTGCCATTTTCTTCACGTTTAGTGTAAACCCTGTGTTCCCCCTGGAGCTTATATAATTACATAAAGTGTGATTGCATATTAATGACTGAATCTGTTCAGATTTCTTCTTCTATATTTACACGTAATGCTTACGTTGCAATCATATAATTCTTGCAGGCTGCCATTTTGGTCTTTTGCTAAGTTGATCTTTAACTGTTGGTTGGTCTTGCCTTACTTCAGTGGTGCTGCATATGTTTACCAACACTATGTTAGGCCATTATTTGTAAACCAGCCGACAGTAAACATTTGGTATGTCCCTCGGAAGAAGAGCATCTTCAGCAGACCTGATGATTTTCTCGTAGCTGCTGAGAAATTCATTCAAGAAAATGGACCTGAGGCATTCCAGAAGCTCATCAAGAAGGTACTTCTTTTGGATTCTGTGACATGCTGTTGAAAATATTTGTCTTTTTTAATTTCTCAGATTAACTTATATCAGAGTGCAAAATTTGTTTGAAGGAATTAAAGTTAAATCCGGTCAGCGAAATGTTGGCTGCCACGGTTTTTTTGTGTATGTGCCCCCTTAAATCATGTGTATGTGCAGGAGTAGTCCCCCTAATCATCAATGTTGGGAAGAAATAGTCTTTAATCAACAAATCATAAACTTTCATAGGCTAATTTGCAACTGCAATGTAAAAATGTCAATAAAATAGTCAAATTAGAAAAATGAACAGCTTGTTGTTTTAAATTGGGTAACCATTTTTTTAATTTGCATTTATAGTGTTTGGGGCCATAATAATTTGTTGATCTATTGTATTCAAGCCTGTAGTTGGAAAAGCCTACGAATTTTCTCTAATTTGCAGGCCGAGAAGGCTCCTAAGCCAAGTGAGAAAGCACCAAAGCCAAGTGAGAAGGCGCCAAAGCCAAGTGAAAAAGCGCCAAAGCCAATGGAGAAGATACCCAAGCCAAAGAAGACTAACCGGCGTGTAACTTTTGATGATGTTAAGATTGAAAAGGCTTCCAATTCCCAGAAGAGCGCCAATCAAACAATCTTTGATGGTATCGACAACCATTCTGTCTTTGATAATGGAAACAGTCATTCCATCTTTGAGAACGGTAGCCTTCATCCGATATTTGATGAGTATGAGGAGGAAAGGGGGTCCAAATCTTGGGGAAACAGCAGTTTCATGATCTTTGATGATGATTACAGATACTGAGGGGATGAACATATCTTCCACCTTTCCCAGAGCCAAGAACTTAAGGATTTTGACGCAATTAACAGGTGAATGAATGTTTGTATAATAATGTAGTTATTTGTCTTTCTTTTTTGAAGGGGAACGTTTGACTCTTCTCATTGTTTTTGTTTTGATGTTTCCTTCTTTTGATGATGTTGGAGATTGTTTGTGCCTTGTAAGATAACTAAGTTCTTCTACCCTGTAGTTCTCTAGCCAAATGTTATCCTTATCTCATGTAATCATATATCTCAGAGTCATGAAGCATTTTATTTGTCTTATCACAATTTAATATATATTTATGAAATATCAACTAATGTTACGGTATGGTTTTAAACAGCATGGTCATCATAAACATGAACCAAATTTGGAAACAAGGTACAAAGTTAAATCAAGTGTATAAATTTACCAATTCCTTATATACAACACTTCTCCGTTATTTCATGGCAGCCTCCAAAATTATGCTGAGAATTGAGCCTTACAATACAATAATATGTCTTCCTGTTTATTCCATGAGCCAAAACTTGAACTAGTTTCTCCAAAAAAAAAAATTCTTAAATTTGTTTTAAGTACATGTTCAATGGAGAGATCATCTTAAAGCCTCTCACTGCACTAAAACTAGGCTAGTAGCATTTTTATCTACTCATCTCAATCAAACTGCACCCTGCTTCCTTCTTCTCCATCCTCTTCATCTTCTCTACCTCCATCTCCCTCATCCTTCCAACATCCTCCCACTTCTCCGACGAAGCGTAAGTCCTCGACAAAAGAATCGAATCTGTTGGATGCAAATCCCCCAAATCCATCAGAGCCCCCCTTGCAATTTGTCCAATCCTCACCTCTCCATGAACCCTACAAGCTGCAAGCAAAGCTCTCCAAGCCATTGCATCTCCTTCCAAAGGCAAGTTATTTATAAGCTCATATGCTTCCTCTAACAATCCAGCTCTCGCTAATGAATCAATCACACATCCATAATGCTTGATACTAGGAGTGATTTTATAATCTATAATCATTTTCTTCAAGAATTCCTTGCTTAAATCTGTCATTCCTCCATGGCTACAAGCATTCAAGACTGCCAAGAATGTAACTTCATTAGGCGTTAAACCTTCTTCCTCCATTTCACGAAACAAGTCAAGAGCATCTTGAGCTCTTCCATGGATTCCCAATCCCATGATCATGGCCGTCCAGGCCATCACGTCTCTGTTGTTCATCTTGTTGAAAACTTCAATAGATTCATTTATATACCCACATTTCACATACATGTCTAAAATCGCCGTTCCTAAAGAAGTATCGAGGTCTAGATTCTCCGCTCTAACAATCTCAATGACCTTATGTCCGACCGCCAGAGCTCCAGACGAAGCACAAGCTGCGAGCAACCCTACAAACGTCGATGAATTCATCCTCACCCTCTCATGCCTCATCAATCTCAACAATCTCAAGCACTCGTCAAAATCCCCTCTCTTTGCATACCCATCAACAATGCAGTTATAGGTCACCGCATCTCTCCTCGGGGTCTCATCAAACACCACCCTCGCATCCTCCACACGCTCAAATCTGACATACATCGAAGCAATCGCGGTCACCGCATTCAAATACAACAAAATCCCACTCTTCACACAAAACCCATGTATCGCCTCCCCTTCGCCGGGCTCCACCACAGACAACAGACAGACGATGGTGGCAGGATTGGTCACAACTCCGCACCTCCTCATTCCACAAAACAAATCCACCACCATACCCGTCTCCGAAATTTGGGCATATCCATTCATGAGAGTGCTCCAAGAAATCGAATCTTTTGAGCTACCCATTTCATCGAACATTTGGTGCGCACTATGAAAATCCCTGCAAGCCACGTACATGTGGATGAGAGCATTCCTCAGATTGAGGAAACAATAGTGCGGAGTCTTGAGGGAGGAAGAGTGGAGTTGTCGGCCGAAGGGGAGGTTGCGGGCATGGGAAGAGGACTTGAGGGCGGCGATGAAGGAGAAGGGGTCGGGGGAGAGGGAGAGGGAGCGGAGGGAGTTGAAGAGAGAGAAAGAGAGGTTGGGGTGGAGGGAGGAGAGGGAGAGGGAGTGGAGGAGGGAGGAGAAGGAGAAGAGAGGGGGANGTTGTGGAAGAGTTGTTGTTGCATGACCACTTGTCGGGGTTAAGAGAGAGGGAGGGAGATTTGAATGCCATGGCAAAATAATTTTCTTTGTGGTTTTGATTTTAAACCCATTTTTAAACGTAATTTATTTTCAAAAGAATTCAATATGGCGCCGTACACATAACAGGTACCATGAGGCCAAATAAAATGTAGAAAAAAAAATATAGCTTATATGATACAAGAGAGTTCATTAATATGTTTTGTATCTAGACAACTAAGATCAAATCTCTTGACCATCAAAATTAATCTGTTTACTCTTTTTTCTATCAGCAAAATTAACCTTTTTATTTTTTTTATGGCGTCTTAGGCGCAAACGGGAATCGAACTAGGCACCCCACGATGGAGCAACACGACTTTCCCATGTGACAACCATCAAAATTGACCTTATATTCAATCTAATAACTAAAACAGTTACATCTATATGATGAATATACGTCAGATATTTTGGATATGAATCCAATTATCATACTACATTTCACATTGTTTATACGTCAGACATTTTGGGTTTTTTCACTTTTTACTCTTTCTCCATGCTTAATTAGCATATAATAATTGTTAAAAAAAAGCTGCAACACAAAATGTCATACTTCAATGGGTTAAACCACATGGAAAAAAGTGAAGGAGCTGCAACACAACACATGAAGATAGTGCTTTTGGGGCCATGGCGCATTTTCCCCTTCTTATTTTACGTTATGTAAGCAGCATGGCCCAATTAGATTGCTTTGATGGGTTGAAGGCCCATAAGTGGATCTAGGGTTTCCTTCTCCTATATAGATCCTCATCACCACCGCCCGCCAAAACCCCCGCACTTGAATCAAAGCAGTCGTCGGCGAGAGAGGAGGAGGCGGAAGAGGAGGGGCCCGCGATGGTGCACGTTAGCTTCTACAGGAACCGTAAGCTTCTCTCTCTTCTTTCAATCTAGGGTTTTAGGATCCTGCTTCTGTTCAAGTGTTTTGCCTTTTGATCTGAGGTATTTGCGGGTGCATTGTTGGTGATCGACAGCCCTAAACCCTAAACCCTAAAACCCTAGTTTCTGAATTTTAATTGGGAATCGTTTACTCTACTGGATTATGAATATGTTTGCAATTTATTTATTTTCATAGACTTTTTTTTTAATCCTTAATTCTGAATTTTAATTGGGAATCGTTTACTCTACTGGATTATGAATATGTTACTGCCTTATGACTATGAGTTGGATGCAGAAACAGTATCAAATATCTAAGAAGAAATTACTGGTTCTTGGTTACAAAGATGACAGATTAATTTATTTTGCATTTTATTAGTTTGTCATTATTTAGGGTTAATATCAGAACCCCCTGAGTTAGGCGTATCATAAAAACCCCTTTAATGTTAAGATTTTATCAGAAACCCGGTAACAGCATTAACCCTAATCTTTACGGCTGTTAGGGGGGCTAACCCCTGAAAGTTATGTGGGTTATCTGATATCGTCCAAAGTTAGTTAGGTGTTTCTGATATTTAGCCTTAATTTACAGTGCTTTAAGTTATTTTCTTCCAGAACTTAACTATCAGTTTGCAACACTGTATTTCAATAGCTTGTGAGCATTTTGACGTTCTGTTCTCTTTCAGATGGGAAGACTTTCAAGAAGCCTCGACAACCTTATGAGAAGGAACGTCTGGATGCTCATGAGTTGAAGCTTGTGGGAGAATACGGTCTCCGATGCAAGCGTGAACTCTGGAGAGTCCAGTATGCTTTTAGCCGTATGCGTAATGCCACAAGGGAACTTTTGACTCTCGATGAGAAGAACCTGAAGCCGATATTTTAGGGTGAGGCCCTCCTCCACCGTATGCACCGTTATGGGCTTCTTGATGAGACTCAAAACAAACTTGATTACGTGCTTGCTCTTACTGTGGAGAACTTTCTAGAGAGACGGCTCCAAACCCTTGTGTTTATGTCTGGGATGTCAAAGTCAGTTCACCATGCTAGGGTTCTTATCCGCCAGCGTCATATAAGGTATATTATGTTGTCAGATTTTTGTTTATACTATCTGCCACCACTAGCCTTTTCCTTATGTTGTTGATATGCATATTCTTTTTGGAATTAGATAGCTAAAGTTATTTTTGTACACAAATTGTCTACTGGTTGTTATTATGTAATCTTGTAGTTATAATATTGTGAAAAATATTTTAGTTAAATATCATGATGTCATCGTTTTTATTTCATTCAGCATAGAATCTATCTATAAACTGAGTTTCTGTGGTATAAACTGACGTCTCTGTGTTACAATGCTTACCTTTTGTTATTAGTGTGTGACGTCTGTGTTATCTCTTTCCTGTGTTGCGGGACTTAGTAGACATATTTGAATTTAAGGATTATTTAGTTGTTTTTGTTCGTGATGAAGACAACTATTCCTTTAATCGAAGAGGATCACATGCTTGATTGCAAGTCTTCTAATTATCAAACTATTTCCTCTGATTGGTTCCCCATTTTAAAAGCCGTTCTCCTCTAGCTTATGGCCTTTTGTTTGCTTTCCATATATGACTATCGAACTTGTTCCCCCAATTGCTTTCCTCCAGCTTCACGCTGCAACCCCATTCAATTATCATGTTAATTAAGAAAGACAACTCCCCTTCAGTACTCCACATGGGGAGAGCATCAAGGAGGACCCATACTATTGCACACTCCTTAATTATTCACCAGATTGTCAGTTTTCTACGGGTTCTTTTCATATTTTGAGGGGTCTAAGTTTCAGTAAAGGTGAGAGTTATGGTGAGTTTAATTCCATGAAATTGGAGTTAGTGGGTGATTAATGTTTTCAATATGGAATGGGGGTGAAAATGGATCACAAACAAGAAAGAAGAAGAAACCAAAACAATGTCTACAACTCTACATGTAAAGATAGTGAGTGATAGTAGGCTAGACTGGCTAGTAGCTCTGGAAGAGGATTGCTGCACCAAAGCACTTGAGGAATGGCCTCTTCTATCCATCTGTTTCACTATAGTTGCAATGAGTGAGTTTCTTCTTGGATTCTTGATTGTATTTTTCCTTGCATGTCTCTTTCACATTGCCCCCTTCCCAATTCATCTCCCCCCTCACAAGGGAGACCAATAATAGGTTCGATCAGTTTTGGCAATTGTCATACCGAACCTGAACAAAATGGTGATTAAATCAAAATAAATGAGAGACAGAGACAAGGCTCATTCGTCATACAAAAGAGAAAGAAAGAAGTATTATCCTGTTCTTGATGTTAAACACGAATAGAACAATCTATTTATCCATTTATGGCTGAAAAACAACATTATATGAAGTTTAAACTTGGGGGCTGACCACAAATTGATTGGTAAAATTGAGGGCTATGTATATGTAAAAGACCTTTATTGATAATAATATTTGGAAATAGTTTTTATGGTGGATTATGGTACATTTAATATTCTTTTGTCATTAACTATATTATTATGAATATTTTATATTAAACTCGAATGAGTTTGCTACTAAATTGTTTTCATAAATATGTTTATAGAATACTACCTTACATTTTTTATTTTATTATTCTCATAATGGTCTTAAATATATAGTTAATATATGACGATATTAGTATGTACCTTGATTTATATTTGCATGTTTCTACTATTAATTGTTGTTCTCCATTACCAATAGTACTGTAAAATAAATAGCTATTAACTAATCATACTTAAATTTTGATAGATGGATAACTATCATTCTATTTATTAATATTCAACGCTTCCTCACTCGTCAAGTCTAGTTTTCCCAGCATTGAAATATTTTTGCCGCAAGATAGTCTTTTTTTTTTTTGCAGAACTTACTCTGTGTCTAGATTAAATATAAGAAAACAGGACGGAGCAGGCTGTGATGTGTAAAAGATAATCTTATAGGACTAGTCTTTTTCGTGTTTTGGATTATATTATCCGGATTTCTCTTTTATCATACTGACTGGGGAGGCCACACTGTGCTCTCTACAATTCAACATTCCCTTGGTAGGGAAAAGGTGGAATGGGATTGTTTGCTACGAACTTAATGTTCAACCAGAAGCAAAACATGGATCACAATGCTGGTGATCTTTTCCCAGTAAACTATATATTGTTCTATATGGGCCTGTTTGGTTATGAGGAATAGGATGGTAACCCCTCAGAAAGGTTCTGACACGTCAGAATGTGGCAGAAAATATCATAAACGGATTCTTAAAGTTGTGTTTGGTTCTCTCAAGAAAAATAGAAACATTTTCGTAAGGCCCCTTGCCACGTCAATTTTTATCCAAGCTTTTTGCTCAGAATTGCGCTCAGAATTGCTCAGAATTGCCACGTCAATTTAAAAAAAACGTTTTTTTGGATTCCTCTTCCTTTATTTTTAGGGATCGAACTAAACAGGCCTTATAGGGTGCTCTTTCGTTGAAACATACCCGACAAATAGTTTAATGAGTTTGCACATCTTTCAATGCACTATCTCTGATGTGTGTGCAATTTTATGACGTTGGAAGTGTATGGTATGCTATAGATATTTAAATCAACCCTGTGCTTAATAAATTTTTTTACTGCACTACTGCCATGTGCAGTAAAAATTCTTGTGCAGTAAAAGTTCTAGCGAAAAGTCATGCGATATTTTTGCTTGAGCCAACAGGCATTTTTAGCTACCTAGCTCATATATCTGTTAACACTCCTTTTGGAGCTTATGAATGTATTCTTTCG